CCATACCGGCCCTACAACGACACATCCATTCGACGGATATCCCCATGATATTAAGTCTCCGACTATCCTCACGTATGGGGGAAGACGGCTCTGTTGGCACGCCACTACCTCAAGCGCTTATACAGTTAAATCGGGCTATGAACTCGCGCAGTTACACAAGGATGCAGACACTCAATTTCTGCTCCAGCAGCCATCGGATATACTGGTAAAAGCGTATGTCTAGAAAATACTAGCTCCCAATACGCTACGACATTTCCTCTAATAGTGTTTGACAGGGGTCGTAGCAGTTAATGAGCGGTTCAACCATCGCCATATCCGCTCTACTCCTAATTACCTTTGATGCAATTTTCCGGAGGAGTCCATAAACCACGCTATTTTTAGATGTCTCCAGCACCTGCAGACTTGGGACCTCTCATCTATCCCACGGGGAGCCGATATGGAGCCATCTGAAAGCCTAAGGACTAATTTTGATACAATTTTCTGGCGAATCCTTAGAACTGAGTCTCTTTCGGAGGTTACTCAGACTATAACCTAGATTATCTGGAAGGCAAGGAACGATAAAGTTTTCAATGAGATGGACATATCCCCATCTGGCCATGGCTATTAAGGAATCGAAAGAGTGTATACTGGCTAATACCACGGAGCGGGTAAACGTAGGGAGTCTCCCTCGAGGACCTCCTATTCTACCGAGGACTTTCACATGCTGGATAGACGGATCGTGGAAAGCGGACGACGGGACAAACTGAGTAGGATGGATCCTACAGCTCCAAGATGGCACAACAGATTTACTCGGGCTCCAGGGGAATCATATAAGCCTTTCACCTCTACATACAGAGCTCCATAACCTCATTTGGGCGATGAAGAGTCTTCTCCGGAAATGACGGTTCCGTTCCACGTTTTGTACGGACTCCACTGAGTTAGTGAAAATGGTGACATCACCTCATGATTGGTCCAGTTTCCAACCGGAATTGCGCGATTTGGCAATCCTTAGGGATTCTTTCCCAGGATTCGAGCTCATCTACCGGCAACGGGAGACTAATACAAGAACGGATATTCTTGCAAGAACTGCGCACACGCAAAATAATATCTTTTCATTTATTAGTACTTCAGTTACCTATTGGTTTTCTGATACAGATAATGTATTTGTTTAATCGATAATGAAGTGTGTTTGTTACAAACCAAAAAAAGATAAAGAACTTCCCCACTAAGAACGCGCTAAGTATTACAAATTTTTACATAAAATATTATTTGATTTAATGAAATTTATATTACAAATTTTAAATAAAATATTATTTGGTTTAATGAAATTTAGACTCCATAGTTCATAATACAACCACCATTTAAATATTATTTTGCTAAAGAATTTTGCAAATTTACAGACCAATGGCGGATCTGGAAATAAATTTTACCGGGATCATAATAAAAAACAAATGATATTATAGAACTAATATTTGATACTACAATAATAATAGATGAAAAATATATGAATTAGTGGGGGTAGTTAGAAGTTTGAACACAAATTTACCGGGTTCATATACTAATTTTAACCAAATATTTCACC